TTTTGTTGTGAAAGTCAAGATTGGCCTCACTGAAAAATTGCACTTTTCAAATGCACTGAAGATAGTGGTTCAACACTAATTACATTAGCTAAAGACATTGTCTTTGGCAGGCATTTCCTGACACCCAAGGGTCTGTGTTACATAATTGCTCAATAAGTCGATTATTTTAGTTAATTCCGCAGTTAACTGTTCCTGCAGGGACATAGGAAAGCCATGCTTTTTTAAAATTAAAATACCCACAGGAGTCTTTGGTGTGCTTTTGACATTATTGGGATGTTGCTACACCTGTTTTGAACAGTTTCCAGGTCTGAGCATTTGATGTAGAACTCCAGAGGTGCCATGGAGCATGCCACACATTGGAGTAGATCCAGAGCTGTGTCTTAGAGGAGACACTCACTTCATCAGCAGGGACTAGGTGGCTTCTCTCCAAACAGAGTGCATGTGAGCTCCCATTTCTGGTGGGCATGGCACTCATAGCAACAAACATTAATTGAGCACATCCTTTGGCAGGGATGGAGCTTGGTTCTAGTTGAGCTCTTTTAGTGCCAAATGTGCCATCTGCTCTCCTGATTACACAGCAGAAGGTTTACTTACCAGGCAGGATCTCCCAGTCCTAGCCTCCTGGTCCTCTCCAGAGAGTGACCTGGAGTGTATCCCCAGTGTTCCTCTGCTTGTGTTTCTGTTCATCGGACACTCTTTTGTGAGCCACATTAGCACGATTTCTTGTACCTCACAAATACACAATGTGATATTTCCCTAGTTTGCTTATCTTTGTTGAGATAGTATTGATTATAAGAAATACCTGCTGTATTTACTGCACAGTTTTGAAGGTAAATAGTACAGTAAATATTCATGAGCTTTTGATGGTACACAGATCATTGTGGACCTAAGGCTGTCAACATGGCTTGCTGTGCAGTGAGGCAATTGTGGTCTGAGGATGACCGGTTTTCCTGAGAAACTAACTCAAGGGTGCTTTATTGAGACTTGCCATTTTAATGGGGGTGTGAATAATGTATTGAAGTTTTCCTAGTGGTGAGTGAGAAGGACAGAAGAAAAGTTCAGACTGTGGATGGAGCCTCTGTGTCAAAGTCAAGGAAGGCAGGAGGGGAAATATTTGGGAACTTACAGTAGCAAGGGATAGCTCTGGGGGAACTGGTCAACCAGCAATGCTGACATTTGTGGGCCATGCTGAGAGTGTGGGTTTTATGTTAGTCATGAGAAGACCACTTAACGAGCAGTGTGGAGTATGGAACAAAATGGAAACAAATAAATGGCAGGGAGTCAATTAAGTAAGAAATAAAAGAGTCCTCTTTAAAGCTAGCAGGAGGCTAAAAGTTTTACTGGCTGATTCCAAGAGCAATTTCTCTAATAGCATTTATTGAAAGCAAAATTTTTATGGTCAGTAAAAGCATGGGTATTACTTGTTATATGAGCCGTTTCTTCTCTGGCCTGAGTTGATGTCTGGGCTCCTGTGCTAAGACAGACTTCGCTTCTTCTGAGGATCTGACAATCAAGTGTAACCCTTAACCATAGCTGCCATTTGGGGATCTCTTTTCTTTTTCTTTGCTACATTTTCTTTTTCTTGGAATCTTATTCAATATTTTTTTATTATGCTGTGGTATAGGAGTTACTTAATTTAATTTGTGTTTGTCATAAAATGAAGTGGTATAAATAAGTAAATATGAACAAAACCCAAACAATATAGACATTTATGTGTTACTATATATATATATATAATGTGTAATATATATATATATATATATATATATATTAACATTTGTGAGACAGAACCTGTCCTGGCACACACAGTACAGTCTAAATAACTGAATAAAACACAGCGCCGAAATGGATAACACTAAACTAGTTGTCTTCAATTTTCTCTGGCATGCTCATTGTGGTTGTGGGGCCCTTGCCATGCAAAGTGCCACTCACTCATTTGAATGTCTTGGGAATTTAATGAACAGCAGGTCCTACCCTGGTCCCCCCATAGTTCTCAGACTCAGGTTTGAATACTGTTTTCCCAGTGATCAGCAAGCCTTCTCTCTCTCTCTCTCTCTCTCTCTCTCTCTCTCTCTCTCTCTCTCTCTCTCTCTCTCTCTCCACTCTGTGCATACTCTTGCTTCTTTTCAAACTTTAGTTCCTTTTCTTTTAAAAATTGGGACAATTATGATTACTTTGTAGCAATGACTAAGTGCCTGTAATCTACCTTATGTATTAGTACTATCCTATTATCATTCTTTTCAGGATTAAATTTATCTTAAGGAAGGATGACTCCTAATAAATGAAAAACACAGGGAAATACTGATAAAGATTATCCTGGAGGTTTTGGTAAACTGGATCACATAACTGTATGGTTTATTTTTGGTAGCTTATGATTAAATGGCAGAGTTGTAGATGAAAAGTTTCAAAATCTGATATTCTTAGCCAAATACTAACCAGAAAAAAACGTTGTCAATGTTTGAGATGATACATTCTCTGTTGTGGACACTTACAATTTGGTAAGCCAATTAATAACTTGGATTCATTTAATTGAAAATAAAGGAGTGTATGCGACTTTTGGAATACTCAAATGCAGTGAAGAGTGGAACAATGGCACCCTCTGTGATAAGTGCTCTGAACCTCAGCATGGAAGGAAATCTTCATTCTGGCTTCTGCTCTTTGGATCATACAGAGGGATCCTAGAATGCTGTTGTCCATCTCACTCCAAGATCTTGCACTTTCAAAGAGTCGAAGACAGGGATGCTGGGCCCAGTAGGGAGCTGGAAATTTTGGTTAACATTGAGTCTTAGCCCATGGTACAGACACTAGAAACTGGCTTCTAGGCACAGCTCGAGCACTGGTTGAGGAGGAATGATGGAGTCTCTTGGGCTGCAGCAGGTGATGGAGGGCAGCAGGTATTCAGCTGTCTGCTCCCTGTAACTGGGAAACCTATTCTAAATCTTGTGCACTTGGTACACCACTTGTCCACTAGATATCCAATTATCTTGCCAGTTGGGATTATTATTTTTTTTTACATAGACCTTAATAGGAGCAAAGCTTAGCCATCTTCTGTGAGATAGAATCTATACCCCGGAAATTATTTGGTCGATGAAAAGAAAATTCCATGCATTTAAGGGCAATGAACTAGATCCTTTCTCAGCTGTTATTGTATTCTATACAACTGATGGAGGCAAAATGCATTGCTTAGAGAAGACCTGGGAAGCTGTGTGGCCATAGCTTCTATGGGGCATTCACTTGGTTTGTTGTCATTGCTGTGCATTTGCTTTCATTTGAGAAAAATGAGGTGTGTATTCTCTTTGCTGCCTTAGTTCTTGTGCCAAATTCCCCAGAGCATTTTCCCATTTTAGCCCGGTTAGCTCAGGAAAAGAAATGGGAAGCCGAAAAACTAAAACATTACCGGTTCTTTCTAAGTTTCTACCTTTAATGCTTTGGCAATGGGCTTCCGTCACCTGTGTTATGTCAACTGTCACATCTGCCTGTGTGCCTGGTGAAACTATCAACAAATAAATGAATATAATCTGCCTTTTAGGCTCTGTGCATTTTCTGTCTCCCTGTGCGTTTGTCTGCAGTGGGTTTTAATATACTGACTTGACATTTCTGATGTTGCTGTGTGTTAGAAGGTAGACTAAACTAAAATGAAACAAGAGCTAGAGGTTCCTAGGCAACATGGGGAAATAGCCTACACTTCCATAAAAAAGCCACACACTCTTCATCATCCGAACAAGTGATCAAGTGACCAAAAGCTACTAACCCCAGAAGGCATTCTGCAGCCTTAGCAAGAAGATCTTTAGCCCATGTTGGGATTTCCCACACATTATTCTTTTAGCATTAGTATCTCATTGTGAAGTGGATAGTTCTTTTACATGTATTCACAGAAAATATACTTTGAGTCCCATGGGAACTAAGATCTTATTATTTCTTAAATGAGTATTTGCTGTACTTACCACAAATAGGGATATAAAAATGTGGTTTAATCTTCTTCCCTGGCTTGCTCATTAAGAAAAAGTGGGTTACACTCATACTCTAAGCAGTGCAGGGTCAGTGTGATTGAGGTAGATGTGGACTTAGCTGTTGATTAGTAATAATTACCCAAACTGTCCCCCTCCCATCCCTGTCCTCTGAGAAACCGAATGGAGGAGTGCTAAGAAGAAGTATAGACAGGATGGACAACTGGATTAGTTCAAAGAACCATGTTTAATGTGTAGGAAAGTGTCTAGATGACTCCTATTCTCACAGTAACATCAATTCTTGGGAGCAGTTCTCCTGCCTGTGTTCCAACTGCTTTTCTGCTTTCTTTCCAGTAGACCTTGGGATTGTTTTCTAATGTTACTAAGAGTCAATTTGTGAGCCGGGGTTTGGTGGCACATGCCTTTAATCCTAGTACTCGGGAGGCAGAGGCAGGAGGATCTCTGTGAGTTCGTGGCCAGCCTGGTCTACAGAGTGAGTTCCGGGACAACCTCCAAAACAATACAGAGAAACCCTGTCTCAAAAAAAGAGCCAATTTGTGCTAATAGCAGAGTTTACTATATCAAAGGAGATGATATTTGCTGTCTGACAATAGTGCTGGGTTAATGATGATGATTTTCTTAGCTGTTATTGGTAAATGCACGGCTGTAAGGAGGGCCCTGTGCAGGATGAGTAGAAAAAGACTAGAAGAAGATTAGTCAGGCTGTGGATTTGCTTAAAGCTGCCTTTGCCAGATAGAAGAGCTGGCACTAGGCTCCATGGGTGTGCTGTATGCATCCTCGTCTGAGCCTGATGTGACAGCTAGTACTTCCCAGAACTTGCCCCTTTTGGCAGCCTTCTCAGTGCCCACGTTGACCCTTACCCAGGAATGGGTATGTGACAGTAGAACCTGTTGGCCTTTGGCTCTGTTTACTCAGAGCTGAGGGTGAAGGTTATGTTCATTATCTTGTGAGTTACATTTCCTGGCTATGACTTTGGCTTTTCAAATACTAACACAATGGATTTTCTTCTCTTCCTACCCCTCTTCTTAATAGGGTGCTGAGAAAATTTTGTCAATGAACGAGTCAGGAGAACTGCAAGACCTCTTAACCAAAATCGAGGTAATTGTGCTTTTAACAACTTATTTTTAGAAATGAAAATATTAAGCACATGCTGATTCTAATTGGTTTCCTAGTTGAATTTTTATTCCATGTTCAAACAAACATGTAATGGTATATGTGTGACAGTTTTAATTGGGTGCCACCTGCCATCACATTTGCTCCAACTAGGGTGATTTGAATATCTGCTTCTAACAACCTCATCCTATTAACTGAACTTTTTCGTTGGCTTTATCTGAGACTAATTCTCTATAATAGCAGTGTTGAAGAAGTATTAAACTAGACAATTGTCTTAAAGCCCACTTATTCCCATGGATTTCTTCATCGTTTATGAAGGTAAAGGGAAAGCTATTTCTATGAGACACATGTTTTAATTTTTGTTCCTACCCTTTACAATTATAGCACGAGAGACAAAATTATTTGAATATATAGTGCACTAAATTAATATGTAACCAGAAAACCCTTAGCATTTCTCTGTTAAATGATTGTGCCAGCCTGTTTCTTCCTGCACATAGGGAGATCATATGCTTTATCATCCAGATGGAAATGCTTTTAAGAGTGAAAATTATACATTCATAATTATCCAGAGTTTTCCCAGGTGAAGAAGGCAGGCCAGCATCCACATGCTTTTACTGACCCTTCTTGTTCTAACCTTATTTTTGATTCTCTGCCATACTTTATACATCAGTCAAAGCTTGAGTGGCCTCTTTGTTCTCTTAGAACCATTTACTTATGCAAGTTCTGTCTGCCTAGAGTGTTACTGCTCCAATTCCTCATTTCATTTTACTTCCTGGGAAGTCCATAGTTATTATCTGTAGAACTAGTTCTAAAACTACTCTCTAGTCTTTTCTACCTTCTAATCTCCATGACTTTTCATATTGTATGGTTGCCAAAGGATTCCTTTATCACTTTCTTTTGGTTATTTGATTTACACCCCAAATTTAGCTCCACAGTCCTTAATTTTATTGATATTTAGTCTTTATCAGAAGAAAAACAAATTGTGCTAACTCATTTGACAAATATTTTAAATAGCTATGATTTCCAAGAACTTTCCTTTGGGAGACAGCAGTGTCTGCTTGAAGATTTGCTTGCACACAGCAGTAACTCAGAAAAGTTCGGAGCTATTTTCTGCCATAATATTAACAGTTGAATTACATTTAGACACAGTGGTCCAATAAAGTGCTTCTGAACATGGAGTGTCCTGGGGATGTAGAAAGAAAATATGCCATGATCTAATTTCCTACATTTCCTTAACATACATAATTTGTAATTTATGAAGTGTTATGGCATTAAAATTTGAGAGTTTTACTGGCAGTTCAGCTCTACTGATAGCCATGTGACTTTGGACATGTACCTTCCTTCTTTAGAAGGCATCGAATGAGAGCGTGCACTTGCCTAAAACTCCATAAAGATAGAGATAATTGCATGGGTATATTTTTTTTCATTTTTGTTCCTAGAGATCACTTCAATTAAATAAAACCATTAATGTAGGTTAATATGTATCTTTTATTTAACATATAAAACTTGCATAGTGTATATTATTTATTTGTTGTATAATTTTCTGAGCAAGTTTTAATGTTATGTAAATGGTATTACAGAATACACCTGATGATTTTATACTGCTATTTGAATATTGAAGGCATTTAGTTTAACAGCTGCATTCCTTTCCAAGATAGCCCTTTCTAGTATCTCTTGCTTCCATGATGGAAATACTTTGTGTCTGAACTGTCCAAGATAGTAGCCACTGGTTGCTGGTGGCTATTGAATGTGGAACATGAGGCTGTTTTGTTTTGTTTTTGAGATGTGGGTCTCAGTTAGTTCAGGCTGGCCTCCAATGTACTACATAGCTGAAGATGACCTTGAACTCCTGATTCTCTCGCTTGCATCTCCAAAGGAAATGGATTTTTAAATTTTACTTAATTTTTAAATTTAAATTTAAATATAAATAGTCTTATGTAGATAGAATTATATTGACTGGTTTTATGTCGACTTGACTCAAGCTAGAGTCACTGGAGAGGAAGGAGCCTCAGTTGAGCAAATGCCTGCATAAGATTTAGCTGTAGCAGGGCATTGGTGCTGCATGCCTTTAATCCCAGAACTCAGGAGGCAGAGACAGGCAGATCTCTATGAGTTCGAGATCAGCCTGGTCTACAAGAGCTAGTTCCAGGACAGCCTCCAAAGCTACAGAGAAATCCTGACTCAAAAACAAACAAACAAACAAAAAATCCAGCTATAAGGTGTTTTCTTAATTAGTGATCAATGGGGGAGGGCCCAAGCTACTGTGAGCAGTGCCTTCCCTGGGTTGGTGGTCTTGTGTTCTATAAAAGAGCAGACTGAGCAAAGCATGTGAAGCAAGCCAGTAAGCACCACCCCTCCATAGCTTCTGCATCAGATCTTGTCTTCAAGTTCCTGCCTTGCTTAAGTTCCTATCCTAACTTCCTTTGATGATAAACAGAGGCCTGGAAATACAAACGGAATAAACCACCTCCTCCCCAACTTGCTCTTTGGTTGTGATGTCTGTTCACTGTAATAGAAACTCTAAGATAATCATTTTAATTCTCCACTTGAGTCTCCATATATTTCTTTGTGCAGACGTATAACTACTCTGAACATTTACCCCTTTGTATCCATGATTCTTTTAGTCTGCCACTTGAAGTCTACATGCTAGATTAATGTAAATGCTCTTTCTCTTTCAGTTTACAGGGCTTTGGAAAATCGTTTTACTCTTTTTAATGCTTATCTCAATTTTACAATTAATACAATTAAGGTGCAAATATTATTCCTAATTTTGATAGGGATGCTGTGCTATAGCTTCTACTGTTACAACAATTGCAAGGTGCTACAATTCAGTTGGACCTCTTGTCCAAAGAGTAAAACTGGTAGAGAATTGTGTCATCCAGGAAATCCTACCCATGAGGGAACTAGAGTTTAATAAAAGTCAACCCAGATAAAGAGGCAGACCCTAGAGAAGCATTAGATGATCATTCAAAGTGGATGAGAATGCAATATTTAAATATGAACATCCAATACTCTGGCTAGTTTTGGCAGGAGTTAAATATTCACAGGGTAGAAACATTTAAATCTTGATTATGTAGCAAGTGTTGGTGTTTTATATATACTGAGTGATTGAAATAGGTTATATTATTATTCCCATGCTACCATTAAGGTAGTAGGCACAGAAAGAGACTAAATCATTTGCTCAAGATGTTATAGAAAATGTTTAATTTCTGAATCTGGTCAGCCTGACTCTAAAGTCCATGATAATAGTCACAAAGCTATGTTCCTGTGACTCTCAATTCAAATGATATACAGGTAAGTGGGACATATTATGTTATCATGACAAGACATAGGACTGGTTGATAAATTTATCTAGTGTATCAGGTTCAGGGAGTGAGCTGTTATAACACCATGGTCTGTTTTTCATGTCCTAGAAGATGGACAACTGTGTATTCTATAGTAAGACATTAGGCAGGTTATGCAGTTCTGATTTGTATTATTGGATACCACATATCAGTCATACATAGTCCAAGTCCAATGCTTAGTGTTTATCCCAAATGAAGGTGAGGAATAAGGCTTAGCAGTTGTATGGGGTCAAGAGAAGGAAATCAGAAAATAATTTTATATTTTCTGGTTTAAGAATGCTTCCATGTATACTGATCAAGTGAATAATTTTCTGGCAAGCTGAGTGACTGGTACTTATTAGTGGAGATAGCCTACATCTCTACCCATGTGCAATTGACCAAGTGGACCACTTACATGACGCTAAAGCCATGTCTTGCCTCACGTTAATCGTTAAAATAGCTATTTTAAAAAATGAGAATAGAAGTGGTCTCATAGCTTCACAACTGTGGCATAAGCATAAAAATGAACAAATGAATTAAAAACATATTTACTTTCCCTTTCTAGGGACAAGCTCTTAGACTAGAAGGCTAATATTGATGCATTTAATCAAATAACCCAGCATAATAGAATGTGGTTGAGTCATGTGACTGTGAACTATTTATCTGAAGACAACAGCTGGTGCCTATTAAGGTAGTGATATATTAATAGAACAATGGCTTAAGATGTCTAACCTCACTGTGTGCCAGCCAGCCTTCTATTTGCCCAGTGTGGATTAGTTCATTGAATCCTGTCAATAACCAAGTAATCAAAGCAAGATCTCATTTCACAATTCAAGGACTCCCAAGAGAGGATTTTAGGGTGGCCTTGTTATACCAGTGGCTCTGTCAATACAAGAATGTGGGTTTCAGCACTGATATGCTAATTTTCTCTTAGAAAATTTATTGGTTGTGACTTTCAGCTAAATTATGAAGTCAGAGAAGACTCTTGGTTCTAGTGGATTTAATATTTGATGTTTTTATTCATCAAAAGTAATTTTGTAGGCTTTATTTCAGATCTATGATGTAAAATAAATTCTAATTCTGTTGCATTCCAATTTTGAGTTCTGTGTACTGACAACCCGATGTTCAGGGTGAGCGAGTGACAGGAGGAGAAAATGAGACTAGGTGGTTGACTGGAGCTCACAGTTTATTTCAGATTTGCTGTTCTTTGTCATCATAAATACGTTCTTTGGGAAAACCATATGCTATTTTAAAATTTCATCATTCACAAGCGCCCCAGAACACAGTGGGAGGTGGTTTCAGATAAAATTCACCTGGTGTTCTTTTATATTTGTTATTGAAATGCTGAGGCCCATTTTTTTAAACTACCAAATAATTTACATCGGTTGATAAACAGCTGTTTTCCAAACATCCCTCCTGTTGCCTGACAGCACCTGCCCTGTTAGTCTGCCAAAGAAGCTTGATTCCCACTTATATTTTAATCTCATGTAAACACTGAATGGTTTGTAGTTTATTTCCAAGGAAATCTGTGTGTTTATATAAAAATCATTTGTGATATATCTGAAATTTAAATTTAACTGAATATTCTTTATTTTTTATTTTCAATACGTGGCAATCATGTTCTACTTGGAAGCCAAACTATCTACCATCTTACAGAAATGGATGGAATCTTAGACTCCTGACCCTGTTGCTCTCTATTTCTAAGCTGTAGGCTGGCTTAACATCTGTTTTGCTAGGTGATGCAATTACTATGGAAATGATGCTATCTCCTATCTATCTATCTATCTATCTATCTATCTATCTATCTATCTATCTATCTATCTATCTATCTATCTACCTACCTATCTATCATCTCCCAAGCTTGCCTCAAACTCTATGCAGCCAATGATAACCGTAAACTCTTCATCTTCCTCGCTATACTTCTGAAGTTCTGAGTTTACAAGTGTTTACTAACAAGACCAGCTTGATATTTTTGAATGTATCCTTCTTTCACAAGTAAAGTGATGTCAAGCATATATTGACATGATCATTTTTTTCTGAAATTCGATGATGTTATTACTTGCCAAATTCCCTTATATTTAGCTTTTAAAGTATATTATTTATTTCCCTCCAAATACTTTTAAAGCATTTTAACATTACAAAAATTTTAAGTTCAACTTACCTTTCTTTATAGGGATCAGTTCTTGCACAGAACGATGACAAAATCATCAAATTACCACTTGCATTCAATCTATCTGTTTTGGAGATCTTTGAATCTCAATCTTTGTAGCATTTTCAGTTTCAAATTTGTTTCCTTGAGATTGGCAACACCTCTTTTCCATCAAAGTAATTCTGTGCTGTTAAAAATGAGACATTACATTAGTTTTGTGTCTTACTGTAACAGGTAAACAAAAGGGTAATAGTAAGTGAGTTTTCAGGAAAATGTATACAAGAAAAGAGTTCCAAGGATGTATGCATGAAATCAGTTGTATTCTAATGTTTACTTTCTAAATTCTGAAATTACTTATGAGAATACATTTACATTTACTTATTAGTTTTCTGGATTCTGTTAGTTGTATGTAGTAGGAAATAGGAGAGTAAATCCAGTTAGTTCAGGTTCCTCTTTAATTTTTTAGAGATTTTTATGAGCAACTTTGACTCTCCATTGCAAAACTGTATGTATCTGTGTGGCTCAAATACGTTTTTCTGAGTTTGTCATGTTTGCAGGTGTGTGTGTGTGTGTGTGTGTGTGTGTGTGTGTGTGTGTGTATGTGTATCCTACATTTTCTAACCTTGCACAAAGCCAGACTTTCAAACATTGCTGCCAATTCTTGCATTTTAAGTCAGAAACTTAGCATCAGTTTTCTTTTTGCGTTCCTTCTGCTATGACTTCTAATCACCCCTGGTATGATGAGTTCCAACAGTGGATTCTGAGAAAGCTAACATGTACAAGTAAGCAAACTGAAATAAATGTGAATGTTTTATGAAATACTGTCTTCCATACAGAGCTTAGTTGTATTTTTTCTATATTTTAGATCCTTTGTCATTGCTTGAGGTGGAGTGATAACTATTAAGAAAGGTTTGTGATGTGCATAAATGTCTCAAGATATTGTGTCTGTTTTCTTCACTATCAAATGAGGGCAATGATGCTTGAGTGTCTCTCTTGAAGATGATGTTTATATGTGGAGGGGGAAGGTAAAGGGGGGAGATATCGTATAATGAAACACTTGAAACTGCTTTGCAAAGATTAAAGAATTATTCAAATTGGCAATGAAATGATGCATCTTTGGTTGTTAGTTTCTCCTTCAAACTTTAGCTCATAGTTTTCCGATTTTTTTGAATTCTTTATTGGATGTATTATTCTAGAAGTCAGAAATTTGTTAAGAGATTCAAAAGGGAAAGCTAAAAGTATTCTCTTCTCATAAAAATAATTATCTCTTGTTATTATATTTGGTTGGCAAAAAATGTTTTCCTGTGGTGATATCTTGAAAGTATGTGCTACCTTCCATATTTCGCCTAAAATTTGCTAGAGTTTATAAACCAAGCCTGTGCTGTAGATGACCATCAAGGAAGGAAGTGAAAGAATCTGCAGTTGTCCTTCCCTTAGGTCTCCTGGACATTAATGACAGTTGCTGTTAAGTGCATAGCCACAATTATCTCATACCAATGTTGTTTTACAACATCTCACAATACTGATTGAACTGTTTTCATTAACACATTTTCTGTTCTCTCCTGTTTCTTGCCTCCCCATGCAGAGAGTACAGCATCCACACGAGTGTCCTTCCTGTGGAGGCTTTGGCTTCCTTCCATGCTCCGTGTGCCATGGAAGCAAGATGTCAGTGTTTCGAAATTGCTTTACGGATGCTTTCAAAGCCCTGAAGTGTACAGCTTGCAACGAGAATGGTCTTCAGCGCTGTAAGAGCTGTGCTGGCTAACGGGAGCTTCTGCCAGGAAAAGGCTCATTTTATTAAACAAAGGCTAAAATTTGGTTTCTAAGCTTTTTTAAAAAAGAAAGTCATGTTTTTGAATTAAAAATAAAGTTTGTATATTATAATTACCTTTTTTTGGTTATGATTATTTTGTTGTTGTTGTTTAAATAAACATTTACTTCAACAACTTCCATGGACCAAAGTCTGGTTCCCCAAATGTTTCTGAATTTTAAAGTAAACAAAATGCATCTCAGTACCTATTTCAGCGCCACTATCTTGTTTAGGATGGTTTATTAGAACTCTCTAGATGTGTAAGGCATTTGCATGCATTCTTCAACTTCAGGGAAGCATACAGCTTTGAACAGTGGGAAATAATATATTTTTAGGTCATAATTTCTTTTAAGTTATGTAATAGTGCCAAAGCAGATGAATTTAATTACACATATTTTTGGAGCATGGTATACATTCTGGCAGAACTGTTGGGGAAATGGTCCTGTGTGTGAGTGTGTGTGTGTGTGTGTGTGTGTGTGTGTGTGTGTTTCGAAGAGTTAATTTTTAGAAGTCTTGAAATCCAAGTTAATTTTTTGTGTCTTCAGTGTTCATGTAAACTGTACATGTTTCTGGCGTAAGGTAGGAAATCAATCAGACAATTTATTAAGCACAAACACTTACATAACCAAAAGAGTTGGAACAAAAATAAAATTGTATTCTGAGTCCCTATGCTCTTAAAACTTCATATATTCTTCTCTGTAACTACTGATTTCAGAGGGCAGGCAATACTGGTTGCCATCAAAGGATATATGACAATGAGATACAATCCAGACTTCAAGCATTTAAGTTAAAAAGCAAAGCAAAACAAAATGACTCAAGAAAGGATCTTCAAAAATGTTCTAATACATATAACTGCATATTTAGTTAAAATTATTTTCTTTTCCAAAAGCCCTTCTAAAAAATAAATTATTGGCATTGATTACATAAATGTTTGGAACATTGATCTGGTCTTGTTTTCATGGGCAGAATTTAACAGCTGGGTGTCTCAGCTGGTATTCTGTATATGCTGGACTCCCTGGAGAAGTAGGTTCCAACACATCCAGTGAAGGAAAGGATGTGTTGAGAAGTCAAGGCCAAGCAGGTGAAGAACTAACACACCATGTTCCTTCTTCTGTTGTCCTTATATAAGCTTCCATCAAGAGTTGTGTAGGTAGAGCTCTCAAGTGATCTCTCTTGGGGCTGCAGTCGAAATTGGAGAACAGCAGAGTGCTGATCTCAGTTCTTAGCTTCTCACATAAGTGACTTTTCTCTCTAATAAATTATCACACGACTCCCCTTCCTGGTACACTTGGTGTGGCTGTTACCTATCATCACCTAGTGTCAGGAGTGAGAGATTCCTGCCTTCCCGACTACAGCCCCAAGAGAGAGCAAGACCCTTTCTTCCTTGACCTTTATCCCTGCCTCCTCCCAGGTACCTGTGACCACGCCCAAATGGGTGTGGCCAGTGCTACCAGTACCTGAGATCTCTACTTACAGGTGTGGCCTAGGTTAAAGGTGTGCCTTCCAGTCGTAAGGTCTGGATTAAAAGGAGTATGTCTTCCTGCCTCAAGATCTGGATCACAAGTGTGCCCTCCTTTTCTGGATTATAGTTCATTTCAGATATAATCAAGTTGATAACCAGGAATAGCCATCACACCATTTCTCCTAAAATTTCCTTATTCATTATTAATTTGAAAGTAACTTTTTCTTAATATCCAACTCTATAGAAGAATTTTCGGCGCATTGAATCTAATTCCCACAGATTAAACGGCTTTCTCATTGTTTTTGTATCTTAATGAGCCTATGCAATGTTTAGTTAAAATAGACTCTTTCATTTAATTAAAATTAGCATGACTTTTAATTAGACAATTACATGTAACACAATTATAAGAACACCAGATGTGGGAAGAAATAAAAACGGTTGAGATTTATGTGTGTGTGTGTGTGTGTGTGTGTGTGTGTGTGTGTGTTTGTCTTCAGATAGTAGAAGCAGGCAAATAGACAAGGGTGGTTCTCTTGGTTGCAGACAATCAGGAGGCAGAAGGAATCATAAGAAATGCATTACCCAGGAGGGTCCCAAAGTACTGAAATTACAGGAAGTGGAAGTTTGCTAACAAGGCTTGAGCCAAATCTTGTGCCATAGCAGTAACCAGGGGCATTGTGGGTAATATGCTTAAGGCAATTGCTTTTCTTGTCACTTCTTAGGCTCTAAGCAGCTGGCATTGCCTAGACCACCAGCTAATGTTCGCAGTGTTTAGCTGGAGGCCAATTATGTTGGGAAATAGGGTTCTCTTTGCAAGTATTCTCTTAGAGGTATGTCCATTCTTTCTATTTAGGAAGAAATAGTCTCGTTGCTCATGCTGCTGCATGGAACTTCCATTTGATGGAAGTGACTACAATAGAACCTATCATGAAGCATCTTTTTCTTCAGAAAGCCCTGGACTCTTTGGAGATCGTTTGTCAAACTGTATAAACTCGCTGACAGAAAATGGTTTAAAGTTTAGTGAAGTACCCATTGATTAAAATACTATCACTCTTGGAGAAGAACGAGCATTGTGATGGCAACAGTTATTCTAATTATATCCTACATTTTATACATTTTTCCATTAAATATAGGACAGAATAGACTGGAAAATTAAAAATGCATAATTTAGTGATAAGGTGAGTTAGAATAAGAATATAGCTTTCATAAAAGAATATAAGATATTCTGAAAGGCATAGGTATAGGTAACAAAACTGGAATTTAATATCAGTGCTGATCAATACCTAGAAAATGTCCACATTGATTCCTCACACTGCTTTATTTAGCATTCTCTACACTTAAGTTGTCACCTTTTGGTCTGTATACTTACTGTCTCATTATGTCTAAAATGCAGATACACAAATTAGTTAGAAAGGAAAGCATTGCATATACAATCCAGACAATGGCATTTTGCTGCAGTATCAGTTTTATGGCGCTGCATGAGAAATGTTAAGACTAATAGAAACTAAATGTCTTTACATTGTCAGTTGTCCACTCCCTTCTTTCCTGTGTTGCTTTGCATCTAATGAGTAAATATGTGAAGCCCAGAGATCCTAGAAGAGCTATCACACAGCTTCAGAGGTTCATCCTGGAAGACCACCTATTACCTGATTTGAGTTTTCTGTCTGTTATAGATTTTACCTGGAGACAGACCTGTCAGTCTATTTCTTATCACAGTTTTGTTTTCTACCTAGAAATTTTTAGATCATGTATTATTCTTTGGAAAGAGAATCATAACTTTTTTTTTCTTTCCAAGGTACAAGTGCTCTTTGTATTCTTCAGCAGTAGCTATGGCTACTTGAACTGTTATAAATATGCAAGCAGTTCTGGTATCTGTGTTTCTCTTCCCATAGTCTTCTCTGCCTGAGTCTGTACAAATAGGGTTTGAGGAAGGGTTGCACATACAGTAATCTAAATAAAACTCTTAAATTTGATAATCATGTTATGTTGATAATTATAGAAAATTTCTTGCCTTTCTGGGGTTAAGTTTAACCCTATAACACTCAGTTAAGAAACATACCAAGAATCATAAGGGACCACAAAGATATGTGTGACACAGCTTTTGTTTCCAAAGTGGCTGAAGAGATTAAGCATGTGGCAGAGATCTAGAATACAAATTGTGTCAAGTTATTGATTGCTAGGAGTGTGGTAGAGGTACTAAAAATAGGATGCTCAGAGGAGCCAAACGCATGAGCTTTGTTGGCTGATGTAGCTCGAAGCAGTGTCTTTGATAGTAGCTAGGGTATCAGCAGCCAAAGTACAGATGTCAAGACCTGCTATAAACCAAGTGGGAGGAAAGCAAAGTGCTTTCTATAATGGTAGGCTGATGCAAGCATTCACTGTGGTTTCAGATCCAAAGATTACAGAGATAGACATGCATCATAAAACATAGGAGAGCAGGCTCTGGATTCTAAACACCTGGTGTGGATTTCACAGCTCCACCATTTCTTCCTTGTGTGACTTTAGGAACTTATCTGTCCCTTATCTTCTTCCATTTCCTAGTTATTAAACTAGATGTAATGCTAATACCTACAAAATAGTCCTATCGAAATGATTAAAATACATCGAACATATTTATGTTAGTCCTTTCCTTGCAGATTTTAAGATCATTTTGGTCCAGATGGTGAGAAACTCAGAAGAACCCACATTCATCATGAAGACAATGGGATTATTGGCAATCAAACTGCTCTTGCCATGCCATGTTAATCTGTATAAAGAAAACAATTATAAGATTAACAAGCATGAATGCCTGGAAACAACAACTTGTGATTTGGGAAGCATGTATGTCCTTACCAAGATAGTGTGCTCTTTAATAAAACGAAAAGCAGGAAGGGGTGTCTGGAGAAAAATGTAGCAATTAAGCGTGTTTGCTGCTTTCCTTTAGCTGCTTGCTTATTTAGTTTTCAGTATCCATTCTGGAAGGCTCACAATGACTTGTAACTCCAGCTCCAGGGAACCTGATACCCATTTCATCCCTCTGTGGGTACTTGCACACAGGCAGCTCACCCCCAGACACACACAGCACAAGAGAGTGAGAGAGAAAGACATAAAAGAGAAACAATAAATATTTATAAACAAGCATGTGACACTGTATTTTACATATGGCTTTATGCAAAACCCTTTTCCTAAGTCTGAGAATGAGGAGATTAAAGGGGAAATAGATCCTGCTTCCCACAGTGAACTATTGATAAGACTGTCTTAGCAATTTGACCTGAGTCCTTCCATTAGGGACCAAAATAACAGCAACTCTGTTGAACTAGAAGTTGAAACCACCACAGACCCATTTTTAGCTTCTGTTGTCATCAGACTCAAGGCAAAAGGTTAGTATTTGGCTGACTGGTGGATTCTACTTGTCAATAAGAAACAGTGCTATTGTAGGAAGGAGGATGTCTTGAACACAGACAGCTTTTCAGAGATAAATGGTAAAGAAAAACTACTGTGCTACAACAAAAACAGGACAGGAAAAGGACTGAGGTCCTGGGTAGCAGGTTTTGGATCAGGAGAAAACCCCAGTTCTCTGAGAT